TCCTGTTGGGAAAGGGAGGGAGAGGGGATAAGGGTGAGAGGGAGGAGAGGGGGGGGGGAGAGGGTTAAGAGAGGGAGATTGGTGTCCTCATCATCACATGGGACAGGGAGGGAGAGACATTGTGGGAGAGAGTGAAAGATGAAAAGGGGTGCGTGTGAGAGAGAGTGGAAGGGAGAGAACATGAGGGAGCGTTAGGGAGAGAATTTGAAGGATAGTGAGAGGGAGAGAAGGAAGAGAAACGAAGGAATAAAATGAGAGAGAGAGAGAGAGAGAGAGAGAGAGAGAGAGAGAGAGAGAGAGAGAGAGAGAGAGAGAGAGAGAGAGCTGTCGTACCCAGACTCTAGTGGTGATATTTGTGCCACACTCTGGACAGTCGAGCCGAGTGAGTTGTGGAGTGTGTGGGGGAGAGGGAGAGTGTGTGGGAAAAAGGAAGAGTGTGTGCGATAGAGGGAGAGTGATTGTAATAGAGAAATAGTGTGTGGAGAGAGAGAGAGAGAGAGAGAGAGACTTCAGTTATCAGAACAATAAGTGGTTATGGACACTGCAATTTCCTAAGAATTTGTCCGTTCAATTTTGATTACATTTATCTCTACCATTACTTCACATAACTTAAACGCCAGCACGAGCAATCAGCAGTGCCTGGCATACCCTACAATGGCATACTAACGCCAGACGAGCGATCACCTCCCGCATGCCCTTAGTGACATTTCTCATCAAATACAGAGGTCGTTGTCGGGAGCGGTGATCAGAGGTCGGTGGTATCAGAGGCGGTTGTCGGAAGGCGATGTACGAGTGGAGAGGTGGTGGTCGGGTGATAGTATTCGGTGATCGGGGGTGGTGATCGGATGGTCGGTAATCGGTGGTCGGAAATCGGGAGGCGGTACTGATGATCGGGGGTGGTGGAAGAGAGACAGCAGTGGTCGGTGCACATATTACATTACCCATAACCCTCCTCATCCCTCCCCACCGTCCCTACCCTCTCCCTCCCCACCGTCGTCCTCACCCATCCCTACCCCACCGTCCCTCACCCTCCCCACCCATCCCCACCGGTCCTCCCCACCCCTCCCACCGTCCCTCACCCTCCCCACCCCTTCCCATCACACCGTCCCTCACCCCTCCCACCCCTTCCCACCGGCCCCTCCCACCCCCCTCCCCACCGTCCTCACCCTCCTCACCCCTCCCCACCCTTCCCACCGTCCCTCACCCCTCCCCACCCCTTCCCCCCGGCCCCTCCCTCCCTCCCTCCCCACGTCCCTACCCCCACCCCACCCCACCGTCCCTCACCCCTCCCCGTCCTTCAAGCAAGTAATATCAGTCTGTTAAAGCGTGCTGTTCGCTGACGCTGCCGTAGTGGGATTATTAATGAGTTTGGAAACTAGTGATAACTTTGGACAAACTTTATCAACGTGTACAGGCGGCATCCTCCCTACCTCCCTCTCCCCCTTCCCTTCCCTGGACCTGACTAATATATTGAGGAAACATCAACTTTGTCCCCCCTTCTCTCTCTCTCTCTCTCTAGCCACAACGTTAAAGACATCCTCGTTAACACCATTATAAAAGGCATATATGAAGACTATAAACTCATTGTATAACTCAATTTATTTATCACCTGATGACCACGATCTAATAATATTTTTAACCATACAGGTAATAAACTTAACACCTAACTTTCTATACGAAGTTTGTAGACTCGATGTTTATAAAGTACTGAAGTATAGAGTAAATTATGCCAGGTAAATTACTAATAAGACAGGTAGGCTACACCATATTGTTATAGTCTTCAACGAACACAAGATCTTCTTTATCAATCTGTGTTATTTTACGAAAGGTATATACGAGTCTTATACCTGTTCATTGACCAACTGTGACCTTTATATTTCATCTATACTCGTAGTGGTCAGTGTGTCCTCCTGGTGTTTTCTTATGTCGTGGGATACCGTCAGTGCTCTTCATAATCCACTGTTGTGTAAAGATACCCCCTCCTCTCTCTCTCTCTCTCTCTCTCTCTCTCTCTCTCTCTCTCTCTCTCTCTCTCTCTCTCTCTAAAAAAAAAAAAGTTAAAATCAACGTCAAACGACATACTTTTTCATAAACTCAAAATCCTCCCTAGCGACTCAAAAAAATCACCCCTCTTGCTATATCATATAAGTATATTAGACAATACTGACTCGAAAATTACCCCGTTTCCTATATCATTATACTTGATGTTATGACTCACACCAATTGCCCCTCACTCTCTCTCTCTCCACTATACATATACAGTATATATTTGACCTCGTGAAAATCATATACGAGTAGACCTCATCTCACATCCCTCAGTTTTAAAGGGTCTCAGGGGTAGGTAGTAGCGTGTACCGCGTCGATAAAGTTTATATTAGATCGCCCTGGTAGTGGCTAAGCTGGGGGCCATGAAAATGATTTATAACACCGACCCACCTGCCAGGCATGTCTTGCTAGGGGATATATGTGTGTGTGGTAGGGAGGTGAGGTGAGGTGAGGTGTGGTGAGGTGTGTAGGCGTGTGTGTGTGTGTGTGTGTGTGTGTGTGTGTGTAGGAATGAGCGAAAGAGAGAGAGGACAGAGGAATGTAAGTAAAATTAAAGTCTTTTATTTGTCTGTGTGTATATTTATGTGTGTATCAGCGTGAGGGGGAAGGATTGGTCGACCTGTGTGTGTGTGTGTATGTATAGGTGAATGAGACTTGCATTGCTGTATATATGTCATGTGTTTTTACTGTAAACCTTCATTGCACTATGTATATACTCTTATAAGCTATCCTAAGTATATCCTTGTATGCGTATTAGGAGAAATTTTACGAAAACATATGTATATGTAGACATATAGACTACGTGTATATGAGAGGAACTCGTCGACTCCATCCATGCATATAGACTGTAGTCAATATACATATTCGCCATAACTCTTGTGAACTGACCCCGTGAAAAATATAACCTTACACATAAATTTCTCTCTCTCTCTCTCTCTCTCTCTCTCTCACTCTCTCTCTTTATTTCTTATGGTATAAATCATGGTCTTCTCTCTCTTTCGTTCTCTCTCACATATACACACACTCCAGCCCACTCATCAATCTCCCTCTCTCTTTTCCAGACCTGGCACTGTCAGGGGGACAGGTGCAGCAAGTGAGGAAGGATGCAGTACACGATAATGGAGTCCCTGAGGTCCTGCCCTATACTACCACTCACCTACAGCAACCTGAAGTCCTCCCCTACACCAGCACCCACGTACAGGAACCTGAAGCCCTGGCTTACACCAGTACCCACCAACAGGAACCTGAAGCCCTCCCCTACACCAGTACTCGCTTACAGGAACCTGAAGCCCTGGCCTATACCAGTACCCACCAACAGGAACCTGAAGCCCTGCCCTACACCAGCACCCATCTACAAGAGCCCGAAGCCCTCCCCTACACCAGTACCCACGTACAGGAACCCGAAGTCTTCCCCTACACCAGTACACACGTACAGGAACCTGAATCCCTCCCATACACAGGTACCCACCTACAGGAACCAGAGGGATACAGGAACACCCACCTACAAAGCCCCAAAGCTCTGAGGTACTCGAATGAGCAAGTAGGAGAACCAGAACGCTACAGAGGAACCTATGTACAAGAGGATGAGAGCTACAAGAACCCCCACCTACAAGAACCTAAGGCTCTAGCTTACACCAGCTCCCACATACGAGAACCTAAAATGCACAAGAACGCCCACTTGCAACAACCTACAGTTGGGGGGTACATGGGCGCCCACTCGCTTGACCCTAAAGATGAAAGAGAACTCCACCCACAAGATTTTGAAGCTCCAGCGTACACGAGGACACATGTGTACAAACTTAAGGGCAACAGGGAGCACCGCCTACAGGAGCAAACTAAAGGCCTAGGCTACAAGAGCGCCCATGTACATCATTCAAAAGGCAACAGAAACACCCACGTACAAAAACCAAAGGCCCTGGCGTACATGAACACCCACGTACAAAAACCAAAAGCCCTAGCGTACACCAGCTCCCACGTACAAGAACCAAAAGCCCTAGCGTACACCAGCTCCCACGTACAGAACTCTGAGGCCCTTAGGTACATGGAACCACTCCAACTACATGAACCCGACAAGCCGTACTTCGATTACCACGAGTCTGCCAACGTGACGGCTCTCCTGGGCAAGACGGCCGTCCTCAACTGTAGGGTGAAGAACATCGGCAACAAGACGGTATGTTTCTTTACTTTATTGTCTCTCTTTAGTTTATTGGTCACGGTGAGAGAAACTTTCAACTAGTCTTTCCAGTTTCTGGTCATAGTGAGAGAAATTTACAGGTATATTTACAGGTATAGTTTTGGGCAAGTTAACAGACAGACAGATAGACAGACAGACAGACAGACAAAAATACACATACACACACACCCACACACACACACACACACACACGCGCGCGTTTTGATTATGTTTTTTCCATTGAATGACGGCACTCGACATCAACTGATTATTTGTTTACAAAATATTTATGAATGAGGCTCGTCATTAATTGCTCGCGTGTTTACTAATACTATATTTATGAATGACGCTAAATGGCAGCTTACTGTGTGTTTACTACACTCCATGATGACGTTCAACATTAGCTGATTGTGTGTTTATAAACATTTATGAATGAAACTCAACATCAGCCGATCTAATACTATTTATCAACACTAGTGAATGATGTCTAAGTTGTTTAAATCCTCAAACCCAATGACACTTTGACACGAGAATCACCTAAATCAACTACTTATATCTGTCATGCAATCACCTGAATGACGGTCATGAGTCGCGTGTCACAAGATTGTATACATTTGCATTTAATACGAAGAAATGACACCTACGATGCGTTGTTTTACTAGGATCAGCTGAGAGTTTGTTTACAGGAGTCAGCTGAGAGATTGTTTACTAATACTTCTAAGGGACACCCAGCGTTAGGTTAGGTTAAAGTTGGCTTAGTTAGTTTATGTTAGATTAGTTCGGGTTAGGGTAGGTTAGCGTTAGGTCGATTAGTTATGTTATGTTAGCGTTAGGTTAGGTTAAGTTGGGTTAGGTTAGTTTATAAAGTTGGCTTAGGTTAGTTTATGTTAGATTAGTTCGGGTTAGGGTAGGTTAGCGTTAGGTCGATTAGTTATGTTATGTTAGCGTTAGGTTAGGTTAAGTTGGGTTAGGTTAGTTTAGGTTAGGTTTAGTTAGCGTTAGGGTGTTTAATCATCTGGCGAAATAAGTAGGGGTTTAGTCTTCAGGTGATGTGCCTATTGTAGTCGAGAGCCCAAAACTATTTACACTCAAAAGAAAAAAAAAATACACATGTCGCTTCCATTTAGATAGATGTTCTTCCCTCCTCCACACCACGAGGCTTCCTTAACGTTCACACAGACATAAAGAACGTCCCCTGAACGTCAACAGAGATATAAAGAGAATGAAGACCAAGATCCTCTCTCTCTCTATCTCTCTCACACATTGTCAACCCTGCTTACCCTTTACAGCATCTCCTGACACTAACAGAAAACGGGGGAACGTCTTTAGGGCGGAGGGGGGGAAACAAAAGTATTTCCAGGGCGGCGCAGCTGTCATATGAACCTGGATGAACGGCCACACTTTGTACAACTGCAGCCGTTCCCAGCAAGCTATTGGCAATACTGGTCTCGAGTGCCGCCGTTCCCATGGAGCTATTGGCAATACTGGTCTCGAGTGGGGAAGATACTTGGTGACTTAAGAGGGAATTTGTGCATTATCTTGGGACCTTTTAGTCGTGTGTCAGCTAACAACACGGAGATGATCTGGAAGGTGAGATGTGTTACTGGGGAGCTTAAAACCCGGGAGTTGGGGAGGGTAGGGGGGGGTTAGGGAGGGCAGGATCGGGGAACTGGGTGGGGGAAGGGAAAGGGGGGCAGGTAAGGGAACAGGATAGTGGAGCTGGTGGGGGAGGCAGGACAGAGGAGTTTGGAAGGAGGATGGGGTAAGGGGGAGTAGGAACGGAAGGCAAGGAGGGTGATGAAGACCTGAGAAACTGGAAGGAGAGGTGAGGAAGGCCAGGGCAGCTGGGAGGAGGGATGGAAGGCCTGAGGAACCTGACGGAGGGGAGGGGGAGGCCTGGGGAGATGGGAAGAGGGTTGGTGAGGCCTGGGGGAGTTGAGGGGAGGGAGGGGAAGGCTTGGGGAGCTGGGGAGGAAGGCAGAATTGGTGCTCAGTAAAATGATCCCCGCCGGCAGAGTAATGACGAGAGGCCTTTACCTGCCGGGGATTTTTAAAGGCAAAAAGTGAATATTGGACAGGTAGGAGTGAAGATTGGACAGGTAGGAGTGAAGATTGGACAGGTAGGAGTGAAGATTGGACAGGTAGGAGTGAAGATTGGACAGGTAGGAGTGAAGATTGGACAGGTAGGAGTGAAGATTGGACAGGTAGAAGTGAAGATTGGACAGGTAGGAGTGAAGATTGGACAGGTAGGAGTGAAGATTGGACAGGTAGAAGTGAAGATTGGACAGGTAGGAGTGAAGATTGGACAGGTAGAAGTGAAGATTGGACAGGTAGAAGTGAGATTGGACAATAATAATAATAATAATAATAATAATAATAATAATAATAATAATAATAATAATAATAATAATAATAATAATAATAATAATAATAATAATAATAATAATAATAATAATAATAATAATAATAATAACAATAATAATAATAACAACAACAACAACAACATTAACAAAAACAATAAATAATGATCACTAAGCATAAATAACAGACTGAGATAGAGAGAGAGAGAGAGTGTGTGTCTGTGTACCTGCACGGATATCTAATGACCGTCATGAATAACAATGAATAACGATGAATAACGGCGTGACTGTCTTAAATTACCATCAGCTGAGACACAGAGGTGGGTGTGGCCGATGAGTCCGCCGTAACAATAGACGTGAGGAGCAATTGTTCCGGCTATTGTTAGGGGCTATTGTGTGGGGCTATTGTTAGGGGCTATTGTTCCGACTATTGTTAGGGGCTATTGTTCCAGCTATTGTGAGGGGCTATTGTTAGGGACTATTGTGAGGGGCTATTGTGAGGGGCTATTGTTCCGGCTATTGTTAGTGGCTATTGCTCAGAAAAATGTTAGTATCTATTATTAATGGCTATTGTTAGTGATTAATGTTACTGACTATTATTGGTTACTCTTGTCACATGCACTTGTCAGGGGCTATTGTTAGTAGCTATTAAACGTGATCATATTTATCGGTGCTTATTGTTAATAGATATTGTTAATAGCTTTTGTCATGGGGGAGGCTATTTCCAGTGGCTATTATTGGTATCTATTTTTATGGGCAATTGACTCCGCAGTTATTTGTGTATGTTCATAGATGGCGGTCGTGACACTGATTTTTTTTAGACACACACACACACACACACACACACACACACACACACACACACACACACACACACACACACACACACACACACACACACACATGTTCCGAAATAAAAAGGGACCATACAGAACCATCTAACATAACCCTTTAATACGGGAGAATAAATTATAAAAGGGAAAAACAAACAAACAAACAAACAGAATCTCTCATCATATAAGCACTGTGACGTCATGTATTATTTCCAGTTTGTAATGTTTGTTTGTTTTTCTTAATTCCTCGTGAAGTTGTGTGCCAATTTAGCATCCAATTTCCCCAGACAATTTGAGGGCACGAACGTAAACTTGTGGTATGTACGTATATATATAGTGTGTGTGTGTGTGTGTGTGTGTGTGTGTGTGTGTGTGTGTGTGTGTGTGTGTGTGTGTGCCTCTGATACACAAGAAATTTGCTGTAAAGTGACACGTATTAGTTGGCTGTTCTATTCAATTAACATAGTTTAGACAATTGTTGCGTTCCGCTCTATATAAACAAGCAATTTTTCTCCACGTTTGTTTACATTTATATGATTTTTATTATTGTTTTAGATGTTAATTATGATGTTACAGTTATTTCCGTTTGTGTAGTTTTGTTAATTGTGATTTTATTTGGTTTATCAGTGTTTGTGAGGTAAAATATCATCGAGGAATTGAAAGTCGGAATTTTTCAACCTCTGTTACATCATTATAGAGAAACTGTATTGTTTTAAAAGTTCTATTTCATCTCACTATTCGGTCCACTCCACATAGCGGTGCGATTGCTCTTTTCTGCTCCCCTGCATGCAAGCAATTTTTCTCTTGACAATTTTATGCCCGAAGCTCCCGAACATTTGATAAAATTTTAAGGAAAACAATATTGCTTTAGCCACATTGTATCCCTTTCATAATGTAGTATTGCAACAGCTTCTTGATGTTATGCTTGCAAGCAATTTCACCTCGAATAACATGAAGCACAACAACACTTTTAACGTATCACTGCTTGAGGTATATATTACTTGATATCTTAACTACGACTTTATGAAAATCTGAAATTTAATGTCATTTATTATTTCATTATTTGCTCTGTGCTTGCAAGTAATTTCTTTAGATAATATCAAAGCAAGAAAATACACTTCTCACACATATTTTAAGGAAAAATACGTTGCTTGGAATCCTATATGTTATCTCATAATTCACTTTACGGAGTCACGCAGCTGCTATTTTTCTTTTTTGTGTTTGCGAGTAAATTTTCTCTGGTAGTTATGGTGCTAGAATATCACCTTTAGTGTATTTCTGCTTGATGAAAAACAGTAACTGGTGACTATGCCTTTACCATTCACTGCCACACAATTACTGTTTGCTGTTCGGTGTTTAGGAGCAATTCATTTTGACGATTTTAATGCAAAATAATACCTTGAACTAAGTAGCAGCTACGACCTCACTATTGATTTACACACAGTACTGCAACTGCTACTGTCTGTTTCATGCTTGCAAGCAATCTATGTGAATATTTTAATGTAAAAAAAAAATACCATTCCTTAAAGAAAATAACAACATTGATTTAATTATGAGCCATAATATCACCAAATTTTTTTCCGCACAAGGTCACTACTGCTATTTCCTGCTACATGCACGCAAGCAATCTTTTCTCGACAGCTTTGTTGTAAAAATATCACCTTTAATGCACCTTTGACTGAGAAAAACAATATTGCTTTAAGAAGTTAATAAAATATTTTCATTTACTTTCACACAAGCTAGCAACTGCTAATGTCTGCTCCAGGCATGCAAGCAATTTATACAGATAACTTTCAAGCAAAAA